ATGTTAGCCCAGGGCCAGTCTTCCTCAGCAAAAAGAGGAGGATTGGCAGATGTTAGCTCAGGGCCGATCTTCCTCACAAAAAAAAAAAAAGAAAGAAAAAGGAACCATTTCTGGAAACATTTCTATGATATAGTACTGTAGGTCACACTGTAAAAGATGTGGAAATAAGTATACTCATTTCCAAATAAAGAGGATTTATTCAAAGTTTTTTTTTAAATCTTCTTTTCTATAACATTTTATGATTATAAAATCAATATATATTTCTTGTAGAAAACACAAAAAATAAATATCATTCATAATGCCACCATAAATCTGCTGTTAACACTTTAGTATACGTCCTTTCAGTCTTTTTTCTATGCACATATACATAGAACAAATTCTTTTTGATTTTAGCTTATCTTATTCTCATTTCCTTCTTTTTCCTAAATGCAAAACCAAAAAACACAGAGTTAACTGAGGGCATGGTTTGATGTTGTCTCAGTAAGAAGGACTATGGGGAGCCATTTTATGTTTTGTAAATAATCCAGTCCTCACCAAAAAGAATGACGACCCACACGTTTGGTTTACTGAGCATGAATGGAAGCAAATTTTGTGTTAACAGCAATTCATTAAAACAAATCTCATAGGTCTCTGATCTTGTATCCATTACTTGTCTTCCCCTCATGAACCACCTCTATACCTAATAACCTCAAATAAGATCTAAAAACAAGATGGAATCAGGTTTACTGAGGCATAAACCTGATTTCTCAGCTCTGTTTGGGACATTAACATAAGGAAGAAGGGATTATGGTAAAAGACTTGGATTTTTCATTCCTTATCTTTACGATAGATGTTTTTAAAATATGATTGATTAACACATATCACATCCAAAAATATATTAACAAATTATACAATTATTAATAAAAACAGATCTGGAAAGACATCAATAAATACAAGTGGTTGGGAAAACTGAGCATAAGGGAATGACCTTTAATGTAAAGTTATAAGTACTAAGATGTTTGATGATAAAACATTTAGCCAATTTCTTAAATTATAGTTTAGAGAATGCTATTACTCAGTTAAAATAAGTACATGAGACAAGATATGGAGACAATTTTACTTCTACAGTTTATGGTTCTAGTTTATATTTCCAGTTTCATCACTTTATTTTTTACTTTGGGTATAACAATATGGATCATATTTAAGTGGCAGTGTTAATACTTTCAGTAGTATAATTAATATTTTATCAGGATATTGTCATTCTCCCTCTAAGTATATGATCTAAAAAATTTTACTACATCCTTTCTACATTCTGGGATCCAGAGGAAGACATTACATGGATGATGAGAGAAAATATATATTTAATTTTAAAAACTACCATACAGCGGCTGACCCCTTGGTGTAGTGACCAAGTTTAGTGAGCTCCACTTAGGCGGCCTGGGTTCAGTTGCCGGGCATGGACCTGTACCACTCATCAGCTATCTTGTGGCAGCGACCCACATACAAAATAGAGGAAGACTGGCACAGATGTTAGCTCAGGGCTAATCTTCCTCAAGCAAAAGAAGAGGAAGATTAACAACAGATGTTAGCTCAGGGCAAATCTTCCTCATCAAAAAAAAAAAAAAAACCTACTATACAGTAAATTTTGTTAGAAAAGATAGTCTTTTTATTAAATGAAGGCCACCAGTATTCATGTGATTAAAAAGTTAATATAAAATGTCCTATAAGGGAATAGTTCAATATTTTATAGTGTATCCATATGAGCCATAAAAAACTGTATTTAAAGAAAGACATGGAAAAATGCTCACAATAAAATATTAAAAAGTAGGATGTAGAATAAATAAATTCTGTATAAATAGAAAATTCCAATTTTATATAATACACACACATATATATATACACATACATACACAGAAAACAAACAAAAGCTAAGAAATATACTAAAGTGTTATCAGTGGTTTACAATGATTATTTCTGATTCTGAAATACAGGCAATGTTAATTTTTTTCTTTTCCAAAATTTCTGTATTTCCCATATACCTTACAACATACAAAAATTATGTAATTTAAGAAGCTCAATTTTAAAAACTTTTTTAAAGGAACAAAATGTAAAGATAGCTGAAATCTCACTTCACAGAACAAAGAGGCCAGCTATGTGGGTTGTTCCTATTATATTCTATGTCCTAGGATATAATAAGCATTATTTATGTTGTATGTGCTTTTAAAATACCATATTACATACATAAAACTTCTTATTCACTTTAACATAAAATATATTTTGCTTTTTCCTAATAATAATCCCAATATTATTTAAGTAAATAGATAATATTTAATTTTTGTAGAGTATGACAACATTTTGTTTTTTAAAATAACAATATAATTTACATATGGTCCTAAAGGGACCATACATCAGATTGTTTACAGTGATTATCTTTGGCAGTGATGGGAAGGAGCAGTATGGATAATAATTACAGAGCCTTTTTGTGTTTTTTCCATTATGTTTCAGTTGTTTATAATAAGCACATATTCTTTTTGAAATCAGAAAAAAGTAATTAAAAATAAATAAAAGCTCAAAAAAAATACAGAAGTTGTATAATAAGGTATTTTAAAAAGAAATTTATTTTAGCCTGTGATGTAACTGAAGTTCATGTGCCCTAAACCAGAAGTATATATATTTTACCTATATATTTATATTTATATATTGTATTTTTTGACATATGTTTTTCTCTAGAATTTCTTGATGGAAAAGAAATTAAAAATATGGAAAGACAATTCCTAATGAATTGGAAAGCATCCAAAGATGCCAAGAAAATCAGCAAGAAAAGAAACAGTAAAAACGAGGATGCAAGTAACTCATACATAAGTAAGCAGGCTGTCATTCATTAGCTGACCACTTCTAGCAAAGGGAACATTCTACTCAACAAAAAAATGAGAAGAAATAAGAGGTTTTTGTTTAGATTTTTTTTTTCACTTATTTCCTTAGTTGTGCATAAAGATAAATGCAATTCCTAGGAAATTTTACCTGTAATGTTCATATATGAAAATGGTAGCTACTATCAACAAAAGCTGTTTTTGGTTCATATTGAGTATGACTGTGTCAGTTATGTAAACATAGAGCCAGGAGAGTGGGGAAAAATATGTAATTTTATATCTGGCAAAAGTGCATGATATTAGTTATGTAAATAGTGAAACAACAATCAGCTATGTAAATTGTGAAACCTAAGTCACTAGTATATTTATTTAGTAACAGTGCAAAAATCACATTTTTCATCACAATAGAAAATAAAAATGTATCACAACCACATATGTGGCCAATACTCTGTGGCCTGTCCCCTTTCTTATGTACACACCCCAACACCTAAATATTTTCATTATAATATGCCTAAGGTTGTGTTACAAAGGACATGTCAACCTCCTTTGCCTAACTAGTGCAACCAAATGTAGCTAAATGTAATGTGTAACAGTTATCTTTATCATTTTGGGGAGCATCCTAGACTGACTCTTCACAGATTCTGTAGTCCACAACACTGGAATGAGCCCCTTCCTCCATTCCATGAGAGTATTTGAATGTTAATGGTCTTCTTGTTCCACAGCTAACAGAGGATGGGGACATAGAAAGGGGTTAGGCCAGGGGAACAGGGAGAGGGAAACGGGAACAGTGTGGTAAGGCTTTATGCATGGATGGCATATCCTAGGAGCTCTGTCACTCTAGGACAGAGAGTTGAGGAGAGGAGAAGCAGAGGCAGAAAGGCATGGAGTTCTGATGATTCTGCCATATCATATCCATTGAATATGAACTGTGGAAAATCATTTTGAAGAACGGGACTTTCTGAGCTGACAGTATACCCATGAGTGATACTGTGTTGGCAAAGTGAATTTCTCACGCTCTGAAACCTGTAAAATGGACAGAAGGCATTTCTCCTCCTGTGTTTATCCCTGGCTGGCTGTGAAGGGCAGAACTGAACCCAGGGTAAGGATTCTAGTATTTTACATATTTTCAGTATTACATCAAAGATGCCAAAGTATCTTATTAATATTGAAGTACTCATAGAATTCAACACCAGCTCGCACCCAAAAATTGAGCCTATTCTAAAAATAATGTAGTTTTCTTTGTCTTAATAGATTTCAAAAATTCTTCTGAATTCAGGGACAATTAGATTCAATCTAATTTTTTAATTTTAATTAATTTTTAACTTCTCCAGTGAAATTCAACAAAATAATAATTATAATGCCTTAAAGTTTACAAGTTTTAAAAATTACAGTCATTTAATTTTCTCAATAAAATCCTTATTAATCTCTTTATAATCTAGTGTGATCTCCAACTAATTAACAAAAACAATCCTTAAAGCCATATAGATACACTAACAACAAACTATCTCAAAAGGAAATTAGGAAAACAATCCCATTTACAATAGCTCCAAAAAGAATAAAATACCTAGGAATAAACTTAACTAAGAAGGTAAAAGAATTGTATACTGAAAACTATAAAAAGGTGATGAAAGAAATTAAAACACAAACGAATTGAAATACATCCTGTGTTCATGGATTGGAAGAATTAATACTGTTAAAATGTCCGTAATACCCAAAGTGATCTACAAAAAATCCCTTTCAAAATCCCAAGGGCATTTTTCACAGAAATAGAAAAAACAATTCTAAAATTCATATGGAACTACAAAAGACCACAAATAGCCAAATTAACTTTGAGAAAGAAGAATCAAGCTGGAGGGAGGCATCACACTTCTTGATTTCAAAATATATTACAAAGCTATAGTAATCAAAACAGTATGGTACTGGCATAAGACAGACATACGGACTAATGGAACAGAATAGAGAGCTCAAAAATAAATCCATGCATAAATGGTCAACTGATCTTCAATAAGAGTGCCAAGAATACACAATGGGGAAAGGATAGTCTCTTTAACAAATATTGTTGGGAAAACTGGATATCCACGTGCAAAAGAATCAAATTGGACCCTTATCTTACAATATACACAAAAATCAACTCAAAACGGATTAAAGACTTGAACATAAGACCCAAAACTCCTAGAAGAAAACCTAGGGGAAAAGCTTCATAACATTGGTCTTGGCAATGATTTCATGGACATGTCATCAAAAGCACAGGCAACAAAAACAAAAATAAACAAGTGGAACTACATCAAACTAAAATGCTTCTGCACAGCAAAGGAAACAATCAACAAAGTGAAAAGGCAACCTACAGAAGCGGAGAAAATATTTGCAAACCATATATCTGATAAGGGGTTAAGCTCCAAAACAGTAACAACTCAATAGTAAAAAATCCTAATAACCAAATTAAAAAATTGGCTAGAGACTTGAACAGACATATATCCAAAGAAGATATACAAATGGCCAACAGGTATATGAAAAAATGTCACTAATCATCAGGGAAATGCAAATCAAAACCACAATGAGATCTCCCCTCACACCTATCAAGATGGCTATTATCAAAAAAACAAAAGACAACAAATGTTGACCAGGAAGTGGAGAAATTGGAACCCTTGCACACTGTTGGTGAGAATGCAAAATGGTGCTGCCACTATGGAAAACAATATGGCAGTGCCTGAAAAAATTAAAAATAGAACTACCATATGATCCAGCCAACCCCACTTCTGGGTATTTATCCAAAAGAACTGAAATCAGGATCTCAAAGAGATATTAACACTCCTATGTTGATGCAGCACTATTCACAATAGCCAAGATGTGGAAACAACCTAAACGTCCATCAACAGATGAATGGATAAAGAAAATGTGGTAAATACATACAGTGGAATACTATTCAGCCTTAAAAAAAGAAGGAAATTCTGTAATAGGTGACAACATGGATGAACTTCGAGGACATTATGCTAAATGAAAAAGCTAGTCACAGAAAGACAAATACTACATGATTCCACTTATATGAGGTATCTAAAATAGTCAAATTCATAGAATCAAAGAGTGGAATGGTGGTTGCCAGTGGCTGGGGGAAGGGGGAAATGGGGAGTTACCAATCAACAGGCATAAAGTTTCAGTCAAGCAAGATGAATCAGCTCTAGAGATCTGCTGTACAAAGTTGTACCTATAGTCAACAATAGTATATTGTACACTCAAAAATTTGTTAACAGATAGGAGAAGTCAAGATGGCGGCGTAGGCAGACTCTGAACTCACCTCCTCCCGCGGACACAGCCAATTTACAACTACTGGTGGAAAAATTACCCCTGAGACAGAACTGAAAACTGGATAAGAGGAACTCCTGCAAGAACAGACAATCCTAATTGAGGTAGAAGAGGCAGAAACTCCCTTCTAGAGAGGAAAAACGCCACCTTCACAAGCCGCAGCACCTCACGGCCGCCCGGGAGCAGCCCACAGGTACACAGCCCTCCCTGGAGGAGCGGGGCCCTGAGCCGGGGAGCGCTCCCGCTGTGGGCATTTTGTGGACTCAGCACAATCCAGACAAGTGGCATAATATCTGACTGCTACTAAAACATTGGGGAGTACCCCAAGAAAAGCTGGTTCACAAAGAAATTAAAACCGGCTCTTAAAGGGCCCATG